CGTACAACCCGGCATTGGATATTGGATTCAAAAGATACAACCCAATGTTTATTGCACCAAAACCCTTTGGTTTATAATGTAACAAATTATAGTTAATAATTACCAAAATTAGTTAAATTAAACTAACTTGTTATTTTTAAAATAACTCTGTTCTGTGATAAAACCTATAGATGCTTTCAAAATTAATTAAACGAAAGGGGACTGTTTTAAGATTTGTAAAATGTATAAATAGTGTTTTACAACTTTGTTCACTCTTCTATAGTAAGTTGAAGAAAGTCTATATTTTTTTAAATTATTTCTTTTAGGCTCCATTATCACACAAAATTCACAACCTATAGGTTTATATAGAATTGTATTGGACTAATTTTTCTATGTGGGTACCAAGAAAAACTGCAAAACCATCACTTTTTTAAACAGTTTATTAATTAACATTACCAAAAAAAGTAATATTACCAAAAACTAATATTAAAAGTTTAACTAAACCAAAATATGTTTTTAACCATTTTCGAAGTAATATTACCAACTAGTTAAATATTTGGTTTATTTTATAGCCTAAGCCTTAAAAAATGTTAATTTTTAAATACAACTAATTGGTCATAAAACAAGTTTAAAAAACGTTTTTTTAAGGATTTTGGTTATTTTACTTAGATATTACTTAGAATGTGCTACTTGCATGGGTTGTTTAAAATTTTTAAAATAAACATTTATTATGATAGATATAGTAACCAGTTTATTAATTAACATTAATTTACCAGCAAGTTAAAATATATTTGGTAAAATATAACTTGTTGGTTAAAAAAATATATCCAAATTAACCAAAGCTGTGTTTAATTTACCAAAAACTAATATTAAAAGTTTAACTAAACCAAAATATGTTTTTAACCATTTTCGAAGTAATATTACCAACTAGTTAAATATTTGGTTTATTTTATAGCCCAAGCCTTAAAAAATGTTAATTGTTAAATACAACTAATTGGTCATAAAACAAGTTTAAAAAACGTTTTTTTAAGGATTTTGGTTATTTTACTTAGATATTACTTAGAATGTGCTACTTGCATGGGTTGTTTGAAATGTTTAAAATAAACATTTATTATAATAGATATAGTAACCAGTTTATTAATTAACATTAATTTACCAGCGAGTTAAAATATATTTGGTAAAATATAACTTGTTGGTTAAAAAATATATCCAAATTAACCAAATCTGCGGTTAATTTACCAAAAAGTAATATTAAAGTTTAACTAAATTAAAATATGTCTTTAACCATTTTCGAAGTAATATTACCAACTAGTTAAATATTTGGTTAATTTTATAGCCTAAGCCTTAAAAAATGTTAATGGTTGAATAGGTACAACTAATTTTTCACAAAACAAGTTTAAAAAACGTTATTTTTTTAGATTTTGGTTAGATTACTTAGATATTACTTAGAATGTGCTACTTGCATGGGTTGTTTGAAATGTTTAAAATAAACATTTATTATGATAGATATAGTAACCAGTTTATTAATTGACATTAATTTACCAGCAAGTTTAAATATATTTGGTAAAATATAACTTGTTGGTTAAAAAATTATCCAAATTAACCAAAGCTGTGGTTAATTTACCAAAAAGTAATATTAAAAGTTTAACTAAACCAAAATATGTCTTTAACCATTTTCGAAGTAATATTACCAACTAGTTAAATATTTGGTTTATTTTATAGCCTTAATCCTTAAAAGTGTCAAAAAACAAGTTTAAAAAAACGTTATTTTTTAGAATGTGCTACTTGTTTCAGATTTGCCGTTTGAAATGTTTAAAATAAACATTTATTATGAAAGATATAGTAAACCTAGTAATATTGTACAAAGCCATTAAGTTTTAATTAACAAAAACCGCTTATAAATTAGTAAGCAAAGGTAATTTATAATAAGTGAAAAATAACGTGCGTGAAGATAGCTAACAGGCCTCCTCAAGCTTGACCACGGGGAGCCGTCATATTTTTGTATAAAGGCCTCTAGAAATACACAAGATTCGGCTTCACGACTTATAAAACTTATTAACTTGTGGCTCAATAAGAGGGCGAAAATGCGTTATGTTATGATGGTAACTCTACTGGATATAGAAAATATACCAAGGTACACTGTTAATCAAGAGTTGATGTTATTTTTGTTGGTACTAATAATTTCATTTTGCAATTTTTTTATACATGGTGTATAATGTCTCAGTTTGACTAAAATGTAACCAAAACATTTTTTCAATTTCAGCACCCAATGAATGTTATGATTATTTCTTAAACTTGTGTTTAAAGTATCAGTTGTAATTTAAATTTAATTATTACGGTGGAATTTAAAATTTTCCAAATCTCATTATGTATCGCATTAAATTTCCAGCCGTAAAGTTAATTTATAGGTTGGGTCCGGGCCTGGGAGAGATTATTAAAGATATTAACAGAACGTTCAGTGCTTCTTTGCCATTGGACAGTACCTGATAGGTTTCCTTAACATTGGGCACTCAAACCTGTTATTATAACTCAAATCGTACACGAAAAATTCGAGACAACGATCAAATAAGCTCTTGTAAGACCGAACAGGATGGGATGGAATCATATGGGGGGTTTGACCATTTGGTTTGCGGGTCAGCATTGAAAAATACTAATTTAAAATGAACAATTTGAAGTAATATGTAGATAAGTCATTCAGGTTTTTTTCATTTTTAGTAACAACTAAACTTACTAATAACCCTAGTATCTAGTTACTTTTCTAAGATACCTCTGGTAACTAGTTACTTTGAGTTAAAAGTATCTTTAGTTACTTTAAAGTATCAAGTATCTTTTTTTTCATTATACTCCCAACTCTGCTAATAACTAATGTAATGTTTTGATGATTTAGCAGGTTGGTGATAAATGTGATAAATTCGCCCCATTAACTAACTTCCATTTAAACAAGGAGATAATGGATGAAATGCACTATTAAGATATCCATCGTAGATATGGGAAGCGACAATTCATTTGTCAAAGTGAAAGTCAGGTTTTAGTTTTAGACATAACGGCATCTGAACAGAAGTGGAACTTTACAAGAGGCATGTATGGTTGGTACCTACAACGCGATGGGTGGGTGGTTAACAGACAGGGGTCCCAACCCACCCATCATTATTATACATGTGTGTTATACGGTGTTGCCTACTCTTAAACTGACATTTGGATTTAACAAATGTATTTCCCGATACAATACAATTAGCCTAATAAAATGCATGCGTAGATAAGAATTTACAAAGACAAAACGTTTCACCTGCTCTAAACAAATTAATTTCCAGAATTTAAGGCGATCCTCCGCAGTCTCATGTATATTTATTGCTTTTGTGAGACATACGTTCGGGTTTGGGCATTTTATTTCCGACCCAATGATTCCTTGACAGCCTGAGAAATTGATGTTAGTTATATGCAAGCTACGATACGATACGATACCCTATACGATATCATACTTGTATTAGGTACAGAAACACCAAAAAACCAATGGCTTTACACCTGCATTTTTTGTTTTTAAAAGACTATAGTCTATAGAATATATCCTTATACTATAGGATATATATAGGATATATCCTTATATACACTCACGTGCAAAATAATTGATCCACACAAATTTTCGATGAATTTCAATAGCAAATAACTTTTTTATTTGATGTCGGATTTAAACGAATATTAAAGAATATTGTAGATAAATTAATGGACAATCGCTCACATCCATAGCCTATGGAGAATGACAGTGACAGTTTTGTTGAATCATCCCATACTTGGACATGTCATATACAGCTTTCAAAAGCTATAAAATTGTTTTTTGTAAATTAATGTGTTAATTTTGAGGTGTTTTCTTACTTTTAAAAATGTCTCCGACTGATGTTGCCCTTTGTACTTTACTTCTTATGACGTTTAAAACACTTGCTCTGGCAACATCAGTCGGAGACATATCCATTTTATAAAGTAAGAAGACACCTCAAAATTTAAACATTAATTTGCAAAAAACAATTTGATAGCTTTTGAAAGCCGTGTATGACATGTCAAAGTATGGGATGATTCAACAAAACTGTCACTGTCATTCTCCATAGCCTATGGATGGACCATAGCAACCTTAGTTCTTCATACAGAAAAATATTGGAAATTGCAATGTTTTTTAAAAAAATCCATATTTTCCACAAAAATAAATATATCGAGGTGAACCAAAAACAAAACTGTTAAGAATAGATGTGACTTTATAAATAAAACTTAATTTAGAACAATATACGGTTTTGCCACTCTACAGAGTGTCTTAAAGTTATGGTAAAAAACATATTTTTGTTAAAACCTGTATATTATAAACGTACGGTTATTTTTTAGTATTTTTTTAAAATGTGAGCGATGGTCCATTAATTTATCTACAATATTCTTTAATATTCGTTTAAATCCGACATCAAATAAAAAAGTTATTTGCGATTGAAATTCATCGAAAATTTGTGTGGACCGATTATTTTGCACGTGAGTGAGTGTATATCCTTATTAAAACAAAAATTCGATAAATGATGGCATTTTTCAAAAAAACTTTAAACTCCATCCATACGACATGACATCCCCTATACTGCCCTGCTAACAAGAAAGGTCATATCTACAAAATTTGGTAAATTGACATTTTTGACTCATTGTAATAGTAAACATTTTTTCTACATCTTTACAAAGTTAAAATATCCTAGCTGCGTCGTAAGTGCTTTATTATATATCTAAATGTATTGTCCTAAGTGAATAAAAAGCCATATTCGCTAACATAAATTGTCCGATCAAACATTTACTAAGATAAATAGTCCGTTCTGCCTTCAAAAACGCAGTTCGGACAATTTAAGCTAGCATTTTGTGCTGAGCACATCAGTTAGGACAATTAAGCGTATCATGACAGAAACATATGTGCAACATAACCTCAAATAAGTGATATGAAACGTGTTAGTCATCGTTAGACATCCGGTGTTTTTTGCATGTAAAGTGAATAAATATTGTGATTAATGGATCCAGGGTATGTTTAGCGATATTTCCTTATTTTTAAAATAATATTTGATTGTAATTTTCGCTTTGTAGTCAGCCGGCATCAGTCAGACGGCACAGTGGTAGCCGATGCCAGCGTATGGTATCTCTTGCTTTAAATATGCAACTCAAAGAAAAACTAAATGTTATTAGAAGTTCTAATCAAATTAATAAGGCTAAACGTAATAATGATCCAGATTATGTACCAGGGCTGTCCAGTGAATTAAGCCATACAAGTGGAAGTGAGTCGGATCCTAGTTACGAAGATAGACAAATTACTTCATCTAGTAAAAAAGTACACATCTTGTCCAATGTTTTATTGGTAGCCCCTGCAAGTGTTAATCAGGCAGACTTAAATACTCCAAATTATTTAAATGTTGATGAAGAAGACTGTACAGGGAATCCTCAGGAGAATTTATCTGATATAGAACCAGAAGAAATCGAGTTTAACCCTGTCCAGGTCTTCATTCGAGAAAATATTTTACAAAAGATTATAGATAAAGCAGTGAAAAAAGCAGAAAGTAAACTCTATACAAAAACTGGAGAAATAAGGAAAAGAAAAAAATTTGAGGAACCACTAGTTGAAAGGAAGAAACAAAAGATAGAGAGTTACAAAAGAGCTCATGAAGTTAAAAAGTCATGTAAATGCAAACTCAATTGCACCCAAAAAATTTCATATACTAGACAAAGAGATATTAATAAACAATACTGGCTATTACCAAAGCAACAGCAAAAACAGTTTGTTATGGACAGGGTAAAACAACGTAAAAAAAAATAGAAGTACAACCAAAAATCAAACATCACCCAGAGTTTATTCCTACAAATACTATTTGGCATCTGAGAAAGCCGAAGAAGTAAGTGTTTGCAAGATATTTTTCTTAGCGACATTGGGGTATGAAAAAGAAAATGACAGAATGTTAAAAAATATACGTAAAACAGATCCGAAATTTATAGCACCTAAAAAAGATGGAAGAAGGCGTTCATACCCACGCAAAGTAGACAGAAACACAATTATTGAACATGTTAATTCATTTAACCCAACAATATCGCATTACAGAAGAGAGCACGCCCCTAACAGAAAATACCTACCCAGTGATATAAACATAACACTTATGTACAAATATTTTAAACTAAAATATCCAAATACAGACTTTTCTTACGAATTATACAGAAAAATTGTGACTAATGATCTAAATATATCCTTTGCCAATCTAGGTAATGAAGAATGCTGGGCATGCGAAGAATATGAAATACACAAAAAAGCCACGTCTCATGAAGCTGATGTAGAAAACCTTGCTAACTGTGATGTGTGCAAAAAATGGAAAATTCATAAGCTAAAAGCAACTAACGCCAGAAAAAAATATCAGGAAGATGCTGAGAAAATAAAACAAGATGAGGAGATTATTGTAGCTGCTGATTTGCAAAAGGTAAAATATAGATATACAGATAGATAGATAGATAGATTAGATAGATGAGCATTATAAAAAAATAAAAAAGTAGGATTATTTAAACAAAATTTTCTTAATTTGCAGGTGATCATGTTGCCCCGCTTAGAAACATTTAAAGACATTATTTTTACGCCACGTATCGTAGTATACAATGAGAGCTTCGTTTCGCTTGGAAAGAAGTCTAAAACCTACCCTTGGGCTGTGTTGTGGCATGAGGGAGTTGCTGGCAGATCCAAAGATGACATTATTTCCACGTTCTATGCATTTTTTCAGGCAAATAGGGATATTAAACACATAACAATTTGGCTTGACAATTGTTCGAGACAAAATAAAAATTGGTCTCTTTTTAGTTTCTTTATGTATATGATTAACAGTTCAGAAGTCGCAGTAGAAAATATAACAATCAAATTTTTCGAGCCAGGCCATACTTTTATGGCAGCCGATTCTTTTCATTATCAGGTTGAACTTGCTCTAAAGAGAAAAAAAAAAGGTATACGATTTTGACGATTTTTGTGAAGTGGTACAACAAGCCAATTCGGCTAAAGTTAATTTAATAAAAATGCAAGTTTCACGGTTTTTTTCCTTTACGGATTATACTTCCAAATACAAGTTACAAAAACTACTTTCTCGCGTTTATTTAAAAGACATGGTTTGTCTTTCTTTTAAGAGAGGAAATTATTTTTTTTCCTACAAAACAGATTTTGAAAACGAATTTACCGATTTAAAAGATATATTTATAATGAAGTACGTTAAGGGCACGTTAACAAAGCCTCAAGCTCGAAATACATGTCGCGGTGTGTCTTTAGATCGAAAAAATAATCTTATATCCAAATTAAAAGCGCACATTCCTCAAAATCGCATGAAATTTTGGGAAGACTTGCCGGTTTGCGAAGATGGTTTTGATGAAGAAAATGATTAATATCATTTTATATGATTTATAAAAATAATATGTTTAGTTTTTAAATATTATAATTTAAATAAAGTGTTCAGTATTAAAATATTAGTTTCATTTAGGACAGATTCAGTAAGTAAAATTGGGAACAACCTAATTGCATGTACTAAACTACATTGTCCTAAGTAACAAAATTATCAAATATCTCCCAATCGGAAAGAGGTAAATCAAAATTATAACGAGCAGTTAGGTTCTATTTTCCAACATAATATATAAAATAAAATAGAGAGAATTTCTTAAAATACCATGTGTCTTACAATGAAATAAAACAAAAACCTGATTATCTCAGAACTTAAATATTGCAGATAGGACCTTTCTTGTTAGTAGGGCAGTATAATCATTCGGTTGGCCATCAAGAACTAATAACAGCGTTGAAACATTTAAAAGCAAAAGCCACCTGATAACTATTAGAGGCAATTTAACAGAAACCATATTTTTGACGTTTGCTGTAAGCTTTATTCGTTTAATTCATCGTGAGTGAGGAGAATGGTAGAAATAATTTCACCATAATGACGATCTGTAACCCTATAATTTTCGGGTTGCTGTTAATTTCAGGGTCCGTCATTCAAACATGATGATCACCGTGTTAAAGTCACTAGCAATGAATTATCTGTTTTGGAAAATTAATGTTTTTCTTGTTTACCTGTCGAATAAAGCGTTTTTATCTTTAGTTCTGTTTGGCATTATTAACCTACATGTACTTTACATGTTATGGGATGTTTTTTGTATTCAAATCTAATTGAAATGGTCCCTTTGAAATGCTTTCTGCAGCAGAGGGGGTAGGTGAAATGAACATGAAAAATAAATTGGTAATTCAGCATTTATGGTGGTTTAAGATGATGTTGTTGGAAATTAAGCCATTCCATGCATGCAGATGGGTTTTATGGGCATTACGGCATTAGCATTTTCCATTTCCTCTACAGCTTTCCACATACCCACACACACACGTACTCGTATGCAATTTAAGATTGCGAACGTTAGTTATGCCTGAATGGAGAGAGGAGAGAGAGGGGAGCAACTATTGCCGCCCCAGAGGGGGGAGTTTTTTTTGAATGGCCATCGGGGTGAAAAGTTGCCCTGCTGGGACTGCCCCGGACACACACCACGACTTTTAAATAGAGTTTTGCGTTTTGGGTCAGATCCTTTCTATCCTTTCCATTGCCGTATATACACGGCTATAAACTACTTCCATGTGACGTTTAGATATTGAGACTTTTTTACTAAATTAAATGGATTTCTATACGTTTTCAATTATCTGAGGTAGTAAAAGCATACTAAAAACATCACTTTACTAAGTAAATTAAACATATCCAAAGCAATTGAGTCAAATATAAAATATTAATATAACCATTTATGTAGGTGTTACGAAAATTGATTATATCCTCCGTGAATCTGTTTTTGCTTTAAATTTTATGCAACGTGCTTTAATCATTTTAAATAAGCAAAAACCTCTGTTTACGACATAATAGATGCATGTGATTCCTGAAGGTCAGTTAGAATTTATATGCAGATGAGAGTGTTGCTGTTTTATAATTCAAAAGTTTAAATTCATTAATTTGCCATTTAAAAACCTATCCACCGTGAAGTGTAATATCTCAGTAAGTAGATTTTTTTATAAATATTTTATGTATGTACAATTGTATTTTTTAAAAATATTAAGGTATCAAAAGATACAATAACTTATTTCAAATATACAAAGGGATGTTTATCCCATCGATGGAAGTAATATTCGAACCTAATCTTGCCTTGTGACCACCCCGAAATTATTTTACTTTAGATACGAGAAACATGTTTAACACCCCAAATAACTCATTAAATTAAAACTACCATAACATAATGGTTGTTTTTGACATTTTAAATACTTGTTTTTGTTAGATGTAGGTTTGGGTCAATTATCATCAGATAAACCAAATATTTAACTAGTTACTTAGTAATATTACTTATAAATTAAGAAGTACAGACATATTTTGGTTTAGTTTAACTTTTTATATAACATTTTTTAACTTATTATACCTAGAAGAGTTAACAAAGTTGTAAATCATTATTTATCTACAAATCTTAGAACAGTCCCCTGTCATTTAATTAATTTTGTAAGCATCATAACTTTAATTTTACCATAATTGACTAATTACAAAACAATGTCAATGTAAGGAAAACACAAACCTTATTTTTCTTAGGGTGGAAAGGTCTATTAATAATAGAGAAGTAATTAAAATGGCGGGTAGTGAATATATTAAGTTTATAAATATGTATCGACTTTGATTCTTAGTCATTTTTCGGATGGGCAACTTTTACGAGAATACGTCGCTTCCATCACTTCCTTTTCAGTTGACGTCACATCACCCCAACTGGGGGCACACAAAACACGAGCAAGCAACCGAGAAAAATGACTTTCCTCTTACGAATGTTTTTTTTGTTATGGAAAAAACCGAGCACAATGCGTTCGCAGATTCACTCAGGGACGTGGGGTTATCGTTTCTGTTTCATAATTGGGGCATGAAAGGGATACAAGAGGAAAACATCGAGATTTATATGGGAAATACATGTTCCCATTTCCTATTTACATTTATTTCCATCTTAAATGTTTAGCGATTGTTAAGAAATTACAGAGATTATAATCTCTGTTAGTCTACAATGGGGTTTCACGGAGGATAGAATCAATTTTTGCAACACAATATTTTATATCTGATTCGATTGCTTTGGATGTGTTTAATTTACTTAGTGAACTGATATTTTTAGTGTGCTTTTACTACCTCAGATATTTGAAAACATATGGGTTAACCTAGAAAGAGTAACAGTCACGGAGGATAGGTTTTAGACTTTTAAAACATTGTAAAAAATAATTGAGATTTTTATAACAGTGTATAAATAAAAAACTTAAATCATATGCTATAGGTATACCTTAATTGCTAAACGCAGTCCAATTAAGAAAACGAGAGGTTCATTTTAATTTTTTTTGTTTGTTAATAACATCATACATACGAAGCAACGAGTTAAATCGCGTATTGCTACAGGCTGGGCATATTTCATCCGGACATAATGCATACTTGCGTATCGACTTCTCTTCACTTAAGTAATCTTCTTTTTTTCATAACGATTGCTTTGGTATTCATTAAAATTTGTTCGGTTTAAAGCTGTTTGCTTCGCTGGTATTATAATACGATAAAATGTATATGAATAACGATCTTTAGATCTGCCAATGATCTATAAATCTATCTAATTATAAATTACATTAAATTCAATAATTTTGATCACTTCAGCAGAAATTACTCTAAACACTAAACTTTGTCAGCTTTGTTGGAACAGCAACAGCTAAGGGTGAACAATTATCGTCGATTGTCGAGGCATAAGGAAACAACATCCTGGCAATTGTTACTTCAAGGATGTCTGGAGTGTCTAACAATGGTCTCAAGATCCGATCCTGATCATCTTAGCAGGCTCTGCAGAATTAACGATAAACCGGATAATTTTGTCTTCCGGATCGAGATTTTCATGGACGATAATTAAAAACTTATAACGCAACCAGTATTACATCCACGCGTAATCTGGGAAACAAAACTCATAAACACCATATTAAAATTTGCCTTAGTGTTTTAAACTCTCATACTAAAATAACTCGGTTTTGATATACATATCAAAAAAGGTAAATCTAATATCGGACGCCGTATAATTCTTAAAGGTCCGTAATAAAGAGCTGCGCAAAGTTTATGGGTTCAGTGTAGAACAGGACCGGAAGAACATCATAAGTTGCCGAGTGGAGTAGAATGGTGGTGCACTGAACAGTGGCGTAACATAATTTGTTCTTTTGAAGGGGGAGCAAACTGAATATGACTATTTTTATTTTTTATGTAAATATATGGATATTTTTATAAATTATAAATTGACAAGCTATAGGAAATGTACGTGTTACAAAATTGTTTTTAGACTGAAAAAAATAATTTAGATGATACCCAAGTGAAAAAAGACTAACCTATAAAATTCAGAACAAAAATATATATTTTTTTATTTATTTCAAACTTTGACCTTTAATATGATTAAAATATATGGTTTTACGAAAAAAACATTGGAGACTTTTTTGTAGACCCTAAAATATTCTACAAAAATATATACTGTATATTGTTGCATGTCTATAGTTATTAGCGAGTTATTATAATTTTTTTCTTAATACTAATAATAATAAAATGATTTTTTTTAAAATTTAGATTTGTCGATTTTTAACAAATTTTGTTTTTTACGAATTTTTAATATTTTTATAGAAAATCAGGTTATTTAAAAAATATAATTAATATGTATCAACAATAAAATAATCACTAAAAAAAATTAAAATTTTTGAAAAATTTTTAAAAATATTATGAAAAAATATTACGAAAAAACAAAAAATATTGGAAAATAGGGAAACATTTCATAATTCTTTATATGTATGTAAGTACGCATAATTTATTTTTAATTTTTTCTTTAATTTTTAACAATTTTTTTTTATTTTTTTACTGTTTTGGATAAGAAATGTTAAAAATCATAACAAAGGGTCAGTCAAAGGTAAAATGCCAAAGGTCAAAGGTCAAGGGTCAAAGGTTATTCACTAAAAAGTGGACATGACAAATTTTATGAATATACTTTCCCAATTATCTATATGTATGAAATGGATTATAAAAATATTACGTAAAAATAAAAAAAAATCTTAAAAAAAACACATGAAAACCTTTTTCACGCAATTTTTTATTATAAAATTGTATTATTCTCAATTTTTTATTTAAATTTGACGATTTTTTTAAAATTTCGTATTTTAGAATTGTTTTACTGTTTTGGTCATTTCTAAAAAAAATTAAAACAGGTTATTTCACAAAATATTATAAAAAAATAAAATCAAACATTAATAACCCTAATTATTACTGTTTTGGATAAGAAATGTTAAAAATCCCAACAAAGGGTCGGTCAAGGGTCAAAGGTCAAGGGTCAAAGGTTAAACA